TTTTTTTTTTTTTTTTTTTTTTTTTTTTTTTTTTTTTTTTTAAGCATCTGAAGACAACAGGTTGAGTTGGCAGATACTGTTTATGGACCCTGAGGTGGTTTTACCGATTCAGTCTCAGTTTTATTGAATTCTTGATAACAGGAATAGGATTTGCAGGGAGAGCAGGGATATCAGAAAGGTCTGTACTGGATGTTTTCTGGGAATAAAAGCAAAGAACACATCATGATTTAAAGCACTGTGATTTACAATGGGATATATTTCCCACTGCTTTATTTTCTAGGAAAAGACAGGGCTTTACTATAAGGAAAGTATTCGGAAAAAAGCAATTCTAATTGGTATAAAATGCAAATAAAAAGCAATTTTAAACAGTATAACATACAATGCAAATAAACATAACCAGTATAATCACATATATTCTATGCTTACAGAAATTTTCAAAACGCACAATTAGTAACAGTATTTTCATGATATATCAAAAGCCCTTCTAATAATTTCAAATGCAGATCTCATATTTTACCTATAAACAATTAAGTCGATGTTCGACTGTGTTTAGTTATACCAACAGCTCTAACCAGAAGAGGTTTTGGAGCGCCCTCATGTGGAAGAATGCTTAAATTCACCTGATACACAGAAGCATCAGTTTAGTTATTTTCTGACACTATAAATTATAAAATTAACTGTAAACAACTATACAATAATTTAATTATCCAAACCTTTAGGGAATTTTAAAAAGTGCATTAAAGAGATTATGTATCAAAGCATCTTTAACATTCAAAAAAGCAGAGGTAAATCATAAAATGCTTTATGAGAAGTTTGCAAAAGAGATACAGAATTTGAGAGCATTAGACAATGCTCCTCCCTCAAGCAGCTTCAGTATCAGTTAAATCAAAGCCAATCTACCTTCCTCTGACCTTTAATCCTGGATTATTCTGAAGCAATGGAGATGCTACCAATTCATATGTAATTACCTCAAGATGTGGCAACGACCACTTCCTCAGAAACAAGACCTTCCATACAATCACAGGATATAAGATGCATTCTTTAAAAGCAGCATAACTGAAGAGGCTTTTCTTTGACTGGTTTATAAATCCTTTTACATAAAAATACTTTAAAAGGCAACACCAACAGCTCGCCATGCTGAGGATATACTCAGTAAGACAAACTGCACGAAAAGGGCAGCAGTATGTAGATGAGTACCAGTACAAAGCACACGTCTCTCCTCATTATTCAGCTACCTCTCATTTTTTAATTGGTGAAACGTATAGAAATAAAAATAATTTCAGAAACTGAGCAGAACACTGTGGTATCGGTGGACTCATGTAGAGTATGTTTTCCATGACCACACAAACTCTGAGCCACAGCAGAGCATCATGGACATCTGGCTCAGGGATACTGCTCAGCTAATCCAATTAGTAAGTACTTTGAGAAAAAAACATTTATTTTTGTGCCTACATTCTGATGTGTAGTTTTTCGTTTGTTTGTTTTCAGTTTAAAAGGATTCAAGAAAAACTGTTTTAAAAACAAAATGAAGGTTTGCAAATCACTTAAGGTGAGACGGCTCATGTGCACAAGGAACTATCACAGCAAAAACAATCAATGACTAGGATTTATGTGCTGCATACCGAATAGTCAGTACTAAGACTAAACAGAAACACACCTTAAAAATTAAAAGATCAGGAAACCAAAGGCAGATCAGGAGAGCGTAGGCTACATATCGAGACCTTGTCTCAAAAAAAAAAAAAAAAAAAACCCAGCTGTGCTTAAGTAATGGACAAATAAAGTAAAATGAAAATCTCCATAAGCCCCAAAAACAAGTCCCTAACAATCATTTGTTCTGTTTCACTGTCGGTCTTTGAACTATAAACAAACACTGACACCATCACAAACGTGAGTTGAGCTGAAGCATGTGCTGCAGCTGCCTCCTTTCCCTATGATGAGGGTCTCACCACACACTCAGGATAGTCTAGGCCCCAGGAGCTTGCCTGAGCCTCCCAGCAGCGGGGATGCCAGTGTATGCCACAACTCTGAGCCAGAGTATCTTAACAACCCAGTGACTGCCTGCCTTTAAACTCCAGGAAACTTACAGGCTTTAAGAAATCACTTCCCAAACAACATTTTAATCTAGCATCAACACTCACTTTAAATCAATATACCACTTTAACAGCAAAATCACTAACAAAACTCTCTTTGCTTTTGCATTTAGTACCTGAGAGGCCAACAGAGAAGCCGATGCCGGAACAGTTTCTGATTGAATCGCACTCGTCTCCATATCAACTTGTTCCTGGGAGACAAGGGATGGGGAGAGGGGAAGAAAGACTTTTAATAAAATAAAATAAAAAATTAAAGAGTATAAATGGGCATAGTGGCTAGTAAATTAGACAAATTAGCAAAAGGAAGGTGGGGAGAGATGTACTTACATGACATCACAGTATGTCATCAAACCCTGTTTTAGGTTATTTCTCCATTTCAGATATAAATTATAAGATGTGGTCAAAATAGCTCATGGTTCCCAAATATCACTAACATTTTAACAAGTACTAACTATGCAAGGCAGTTTACAAAATGTTACCCAGACAATAATAAACAGAACATAAACCCAAAGAAAGTTCTTAACTATGTGGGGAGAAAATGCATGCATAATGTTAGTAAATAAAATTACTCAAAGGGTCACAAAAATTGCCCCATATCTGTAGTTTAAGTAGCAAACACTCCTGTAAATGTCCCTTGCTTACGGTCTCTCCCACACTCCTCTATCTAACAATCAATGTCCCAGTTCTACTGTGTGTGCCATCAGTAAACACCTGGTGAACTGTGTCATCTCATGGCAGCTTCACTCTCTACAGTAGTGTATAAAATACACACAAACGGAAATACAGGTAAAAACATTTCTAAAATATGAAAACAGGAACCATAGTGCTTTCCCCAGGAAACTGAAAAGTGCAAGCGAGATATGAGCATGAAGAATGGAGAAGTGGAGCTTTTCACGAGGACTATTTAGAATATGTATCAAGTTCTTAAAAATTTATTAAATAAGCACAACGAGATGGCTGATATTTACAATACTGCAAGGCTGCAGTGGGAAGGTGCAAACTTGATTTTAATGGGAACAACTGCCGACAATATGCAACTAACGGAGTAAGGTGTGATTCAAAAAAAAAAAAAACAAAAAAAAAAAAACAAAAACAACCTTCCAGTGCAGTCATTATGCAGATCATATAACATAAACATGTTTTCTTAGTTTACAAAATGCATTATAAATAGGAAGTAAAAGGCCCTAGTACATATGCATACACACAAAGCTTGAAAGAAACCAAAAGAATACTTATTAAAATATTCTTCGTTGAATTTGGCTCAATTGGGAAAGTTAAGTCTTTTACATATTTTATTTTCTAAAACTATGTCATTCTCAGTCTTTCAGTTTAAACACAGCCAACCTCTTCCTTCCTACCTCACTGAGGCCAAACTGCTGGAAACCACTTTTCTCAACAGATCCTGTTGGACCCAATAGTGCAGGTCAGTCTCACAGACTGCTTTGAATTACAAGCCACCAGGCAAGTACTGCTTCAGTCAAAAGCAGCACCCTCCCCTTTCCCTACTTGTCCCATGTACCCCACTCCTCCCTCACTGTGCTGTCACTAGTAACACATAAATAACCTTTACACCACCACCTTACCTTCACTAGGTTGCTGTCTTACAGACTGTTCTAGTCCCATCAGCTTTAGGGATTAATTAACATTTAAAAAGAAACCAACAGGTCTCTAAAATCAGCGGCAAGAGAACCCCACACTCCAGTGAAGAAACAGTGCAATGCCAACAGACACCTGCACTGTGTCTGCACTTCTACCCAAAAGGCTAAGTTAGTATACCTTTGTTTCTGTTTTATCATGTCCACTCAAATCAAGACAGTTAGCATCTTCACTTGTTTCATCCTGTTTTTAAAAAAAAAAGCTTTATTCTCCAAAATGAAAAATTTAGATTATTTGCCAATTAACTTTAGTTTATTAAGTTTCCAAATCTATAAAGATGAAATAGTCTTAAAATAGATCACAGAGTCTCTTTCTACAGGGGCTTTTGAGAGTAAATAATAAGCACCAAAATTTTTAAACATGATAAAAACTTTTTGTCAATCCCCATCACATAAAGCACATCCCCAAAACCACAAAGCTCATGAAATGTTTTGCCTAAGGAAAATAGTTCCCTGACAATGAAAACAACAGGATCCCCAGTGAAGGAAGCTCATTGTGCCCACTAGTCTACCAAATGACTAGCAACTTAGATACAGAACATTCCTTTAACTCGCCCACACATCTCCAGAAACATCTGTGCACATAGAAACACACACTCTTTTTCTCAGCAAAGTATCAATATTGGAAAGACTGCAGGGCCTATGTCCTCCTTGGGTCTCCAAGGCTATGCTAGCCTTTATTTTCTCAGCTTTATTAACTACAGAGAACTTAAGAATTGGTCTCTGCATCTACGCGGGGGCATATGCGTAAGTGCGCATGTGGAGGCCAGGGGGCAAGCTCAGGTGCAGTTCCTCATGAGCCGTCCACAGTCTCCTCAGTGGGACCAACTGCCCTGGAGTACTGGAAGGCCCAGCATGTACCACCACGCTTGGCTTATTTACATGGTACTGGGTCCTTGCATTTCATAGACAAGGCTATCTCCTTAGTCCCTAATATTTTAAAGAATGATAGGAACCACAGGTAACTTGTAAAATAAAGAATTAATAATACAGTAAAAATTAATTTTAACAATGGCCTTTCCAGGCAGTGTTGGTGCACAGCCGTGCAGTGGTGGTATACGCCTATCTCTGTGAGTTCAAGGCCAGCTGATCTACAGAGCAAGCTCCAAAGCTACACAGAGAAACACCCTGTATCAAAAAAAAAAACCAAAAAAACAAAAAAACAAAAAAACAAAACAATAGCCGGGCTGGAGAGATGGCTCCGGGGTTAAGCTCACTGACTGTTCTTCCAGAGGTTCTGAATTCAATTCCCAGCAACCACATGGTGGCTCACAACCATCTGTAATGTGATCTGGTGCCCTCTACTGGCATGCACTATATACATGATAAATAAATAATAAATCTTAAAAAAAAAAAAAAGCAATGGCCTTATTTGTTTTACAAACAAGTTAAAAACAATCATTTGTTATATACAATTACTGACTAAATGTCATACTTTAGAATTACTATCGATCTCTTGTTGATACATATACTGCAATGATTGTTATAGGCCCTAATTTGTAATCACACATTCAAATACTTAACTGAAATCAGATACCTGAATGAAGAAAGGCTGTAAATAAAACGAGGCTGGTCAGTAGTTAACTGCTGAGGCTAGGTGACAGTAATTTAACAGTGCACTTATTATTTTTTCCAAATATTTAAAATTTGCCATATACAAAAGTTTTAAAGGCTTGGAGGTTGACTCAATGGAAAATGAGTCCATGTATGCAAAAACGGCCAAGTTCAATTCCTAGTACCACATACACAAATTTTTAAAAACTTAAGTTAACCACAAAATAGAACAAACTTACCATGTTTACTTTATTAGGATACAATGTACACACTAAGCTGCCATGACCTCAAAGCATGTAAAACCCTCCTATATACTGTAATGGATAAAGACAACTAACTCTTCCTATCTGAGTTTTGTTTATGAGATGGCCTCACTATTAAGCCAATGCTTGCCTCCTATTTCTCTATCCCAACTGCTGAAACTACATCATGTGCAATGGATCATACCTAATACATGAACAGAGCACAAATGGCCCAATTAAGTAAGGTCACATTATAATACACTTACTTGATTCAGTACCATGAGATGCTGGGCTTAGTACTTTTAAGTAAAATTAGTTTTTTAACTGCAAGTGATGTTGAACCTCAAGGGCTTCCACTGGGAAATACAGCCAGCCCAAGTGAGCAACACCCTTCCTTCCTATACTTTAGCAAGTTCTATGACTGAGCTAACTGGTTCCAAAGAGCCAAAGAAATTCTGACTGAGAAAATTTATAGTCTAAAAAAAAATTAAGGAAAAAAAAAAAGCAGGAGGCCTGTTTTTTAAAAGACACCGAGTAATTTTAACATCCTACCTCTATTTGGCCCCATGCTTAAACAAGAGCACATTTTAAAGAGAGTTTAAAACAGTGAAATCATCAGGGATATCATGTTACCAAGTAGACTAATCTGACTTTGCACATTCTTTTTTCAGATGTGATGGGGGGGGGGGTCGGTTGATGAACTGAGACAAGGTTTCTATGTGAACAGCCCTGGCTGTCCTGGAACTAACTCTTGTAGACCAGGCTGGCCTCAAAATCACAGAGATCCACTTGTTTCTGCCTCGCAAGTGCTGTCATTAAAGGCATATGCCACCACTGCCCTGTTACAGTAATGATCTTAAAAATTCTAATATACAAGTCTAGTGAATAACAATAACACTATGTGGGTTTTGTTCTAAAAGAACTTGTGACAGAGGTTAAAGGAGGCCAAGCATGGAAGATCATGCCTACAATCCCAGCAGTCATAAGGCAGAGGGAGGTTTTATTGGGCTGGTTTTTTCTTAATTTTTTGAGACAAAGTTTCTTTTTTTACTGCCTTAGCTGTCCTATGGAACTCGCTCTGTAGGCCAGGCTGGCCTCAAGAATCACAGAGATCCACTTGCCTCTGCCTCCTGAGTGCTGGGACAGAAGGTATGCGCCACCATTGCCTGAAATACTGTTTTTGAGAGTGCCTCAAAAAATAATTTCCAAAATCACCTTCTAGAAGAGCTCTGATGCAGATATCAGGAGTCAAATAAAAACACTCTAATAAAAGAGTAAGCTACCACAAAGGGCTTAGGGATGTAATTCAGCAGTAGGATGCCGGCCCAGTATACCTAAGGCCCTGGATTACATCCTAGCACCACATACAAAACATCAAGAAACAATAAAACCTCCCCACCACAAATGCAGCAGTTTTCAGAACCCATTTTACATGTTCTAACCATTTCATTCTAATTTGGCATCCTGAGTAACAACATTTAAGTTACTCTGTTAATTGAAACATCTCCAATATCTAAGACAAAGGCATTTGATTAGACACACTTTACCAATACTAATCAAAGTATAATGGATACTCAAGAGAAACTTAGGTTCTTTTTTCGATTCTAAAAAACAAGTTCTAGAGCAGATTTATCATGAAACAGGTGACTGCCTAGTAAAAAGTAAAAAGTAGAGTTACTCCAGAGATCAGACTGCATAACAAGACTACATTGTTTTAAGACCGACAATAACGGAGTGGAGGGCAGCTTGGTAGGAGAGTGCTTCTGTGGCATACCCAATGACCCGAGTACAGACTCTGCAGGACCACAAACAACTCATAAAGACTCAAGCAGTCAACACAATGCCCAGTTTCCTAACACTACTTGCATCTCAATGCTGATTTGACAGGACTGAAGAGGAGCTTCCTGTAGAGTTGGTGGCCCCAAACTAATATGCCTTTGCAACTTGTTCAGTCATTAGAGTAAACCCTGAGCACTGGGGCTGCAGCTCAGAAGCAGGAATCCCTAGTAGTCAGCTAGTGCTAGTCACCCTCTGCTACCAATTACAATATAAAACTCCATCTGAGATAAAGGCAAAACACTGTCCAAAGAGCCAAAAAGAATCAGTACAAATACAACAGTCACTAGAGAATAATAAATTAGGATGTTAATTGGGTATTTCAGACTACTGCCAGATATAACAGTTACCTACAGAGTGGCAGAGCTGGGGAGCCCTACTGCAGTCTACTACACTGCAGAAGACCCAGGGTCTTCCTGAAAGCGTTCCCCCACCAGATCCAAGAGCAGGCAAGCCGGGTTGTCATGCCTGTATCTTTTTGTGTATCTAAGTATAAGCATATATGCAAATATACCTCGTCTGTTTTGGTTTTCTTAGGACTTTCTTCCTTATGGGGTGAGGATGTTCTCTTGACTCCTGCTATAGGATTAGGTACTTTTGTTGCTGCATTTCCTGAAGGTCTAGGTGATGGGTTTACCAGACGTGTTGAGGAGACAACTCTGGAGACCGTAGGCTTTGGTGGTGGAGAAATGGCTGGCTGTGTGGCAGTTTGAGGAATGCTTTCGCTCGATTGACCTAAATAGTAAAGATAGGAGCACACAAACTAAAATTATTAAACATCAAGTTACAAAGAAAGCTTGTTTCTAACTCATTTCATGAATAACTTTAGAAGTGTTGTTAAAAGCCAGGTACCAAGCACACACCTGTAACCTCACAACATACAGGGTAGCATATCCAGAGGATCAGGAGCTTAGAGATTAGCCTGGGCTAACCTAAAACTTTGTCTCAAAAACAAAAGGGGGGAGGGCAGGGGCTGGAGAGATGGCTCAGAGGTTATCACATACACTGCCATTATAAAGGTCCAGAGTTTTGTACCCAGCAGCTACACTAGAGGCTCACAACCATCTGTTAACTCCAACCCCGGGGGAGGTAATGCCCTCTTCTGACCTCTCAGAACACTACACACACACAGTGCCACTCACATATACATAAATAAAATTCAAAATCTTTTTTTTTTACCCCCTGAGCTTTCACTGGAATTTGCTTGTGGCACAGAAACCTCAGAAGCCTGGATGCTGGTCACAGATGCTGCGGTCACAGCTGGAGCAGGACTGTTTCTGCTAAAACAGGGAAGGAGAGAAAAAGAAGGGAGAGGGAGGGGTCACTCAGAGTATTTTAAGAGCCACTATAAATGTTAACATATGCTACAGATCTGTTTCTTTGGTTTTAGGTTCCATGCTTTCGTGACAAAAAGCATATAAAACACACAAAGCAGTAAAAACAAACATCCTATGATATGCATTTCATATAAAAACAGCTTCTAAAAACAAAAAATGATGCAGCTATTCTGCACTTTAAATAGACAGATGAATATTAAATCTGGCAGTGAGATTATACATATTTAACGTGCCTCAGTATTAACCTGAAAACTGTTTAACATGATTAATGACTATCTTGAACAAAATGGTTCTAAAGTATCTGCTCTTCAAGTGTGACAACTATAAAAAGGAATAAGAAAAAGAAAAGTCTGAGAATAAAACTAAGACTGTAAGCAGAGATTCTGCCACTGTGCTTATTCCCTTCCAGTCGTCTTTCCTTACCCCTGAGAGCTGCCAGAACTGTTCAATGGACTGGTCTTCATAGCACTAGTGGGTGAAGGCACAGACATGCTGTTATCACTGTCCATAGACAAGTCGAGGCTGCTGTCATTCAGAGCTGTTAACTTGACCCCTTCTGTTGAATGCTGCAGCAGAAAAAAGATGAATTTCAATGTCTTTAGGTACTCAAATTTACATGATTTTCTTCTGAAAAGCACCTACCAGTAAGTCATGTACCTCTTTACTTAACTAAAGATCTGATATGAAGAAAAGGAGAAGGGAACACTAACGCATATACTTTCAGACAGTAAAAATTTAAAACCACAAACAGAAAAGTTTATGAAACCTCTATCAGGACTATAAACACCAGTACAAAATCTCTGTAAGCTGGGCAGTGGTGGTGCACACGCCTCTGATCCTCAGAAGGCAGAGGCAGGCAGATCTCTGTGAGTTCGAGGCCAGCCTGGTCTACAAAGCTACAGAGGGAAACCAAAAACAAACAAACAAACAAACAAACAAACAAACACCCCCCCCCAAAAAAAATCTCTTGACAGAATCCCATCAAGACCACAAGGTTTTGCTGTTTTTAGTATTCTTATTAAGCAAAAGGTCACATGGAGAAAGGAGCTTGGCAGAGAATACTCTTAATCCCAGGGCTCTAGACAAAAAGGGCAGAGGTAGCAGGGTCCAAGTTGGAGGCCACTCTGGTCTACAGAACAAGCTGCACGACAGTGAGGGCTTCACAGAGAAACCTTGTCTTTAAAAAAGAAAAAAAAGGAACATGTTGCCCATGTTTACCTTAGTCTCTGAACTCAAGCAATCCTCCTGTCTCAACCTCCCAATTTACTCCAAAATAGTTGGAATTACAGGCATACACCAAATCTAGCATAATGTACAAGCTGTGTACCCCATAATGAACACAGAATTATTTAAGTAATTACGTCGTAAGTAAAGAACATTACCACATATGGTGGCACCCACATGTACTTCCAACATTCAGCAGGCTGAGACAGGATTCTGAATCTGAGGCCCAGCTTGGAATACAGACCTAGTCCATCAATAAAAATCATTTATTCCTATTCATTTATTTTACCATCAAAGATCCTTGAAAGCCAGAGATCTGTAAGAATTACTGTCCCCTTTTTTGGAGGGGACCCAGGACACATGGACATCATTTGTCTGTAGTTCAGGCTGGCCTCTAATTCAGGTTTCCTACTGTGCATACACCTACAGATACAGACAACAAAGCAGCCTCATGCTGTTTGTTTTCATACCAGCTTTAGTGTCCTACTTTCACATCAGAAAATGAATAATATATAAGATTTCAAACAGGAGTAGATGGGATCAAACTACAGCCATACAAAATACAGTAAACACAAAACAAGCCAGGTGACAAACTGGTGTTTTACTGAGTACCTCTGAACACAAGTGACAGTATACACACCCATCATTTACTCTGCTGGTGGACAGGAGGTTCCTGGTAACTAACACCCCCTACAGTCTATTTTTAGGGTAATACAGTCTTAAGTACAAGAAAAACTAAAGAGGAAAACCTAATTAAACCTGTATACCAGTCATTTAATAGTAGTAAGACTTTAAAAGGTAAAAAAAAAAAAATAGGAATCTGTGGTTCAGCAAGATTACCTGGGCATTTTAAAAATGCACACAGCCAAGAAGAACCTTACATGGCAATGCATGTGCTTTAACCAATTGCTATCAGAACGTGCTTAGCAGAGGCGGACCAGTGAAGAGGACCTAACTCATATTTAACTCAACTTCCAATGGGCATGTCCTTATTGTGCCAGGTGTAGGAATGAACATGCGAAATTAATTCCAGCAATCAGGGGACCAGGGCAGGAAGTCTGCAACTCTGATGCCAACCTGAGTCACCCAACTATCATCACTTTAGATATTTATGTAGCTGCCCTAAATTGTAAGTGATCTTGGAATTAATTACAACAGAACCTAGCACAGCAGTTCTCAACCTTTGGGGTCAAAGGACCTTTCACAGGGGTCGCCCAACACCATCAGAAAACACAGTATTTTCATTATGACTCGGTATCAAAATTACAGTTAAAAAGTAGCAACAAAAATAACTTTATGGTTGGGAGCCAGCAAAATTAGGAACTGTATTAAAGGGTAACAACTTTAAGAAGGTTGAGAACCACTGAAGCATGAATATCTACTATGTCCAAGTCACTCGTTCTATATATTGCTGTATTCAATACAAGAAGGTAAAATGCTGCTTTCTTATTAAAAGCATGAGCAACAGAACAAAGCACTATACCTCTGGTGACCGGTCAGAGTGACATTCTTTATAACTACTTAAAATTACTGTACAAAGGGTGTCACATAGCCCAGGCGAGCCTAGAGTCTGCTACCTCACCTTGCAATCCTCCTTACTTCCTATCAAACGCTGGGAACACAGGGGTGTGTTACAATACAGGGCACAGTAACATTTCTTTTCTTTTTTTTGGGGTGGGGTGGGGTGGGGACAGATATCACGTATCCTATATTTACCCGGGGACAACCTTCGCAAGTGCTGGGATAACAGGCTTATGTCAGCATGCATAGTTTATGCAGTGCTGGGGATCAAACCCAGGGCTTAGTGTTCTCTAGACACTGTCTACCAACTATGCTATCTCCCTAGTCCCATGTTCAACCCTTCACTTCATGTTTTAAATTGATTAGTTTATGAGAAAGAGAAGAGAGACTGCCACAGCAAGGACGTGGAGATCAAAGGACAACTTGCAGGAATCACTTCTTTCTTTCAACCATGTAGGTCCCCAGGGCCCTGGGACTGAACTCAGGTCATCAGCCCATCCTCAATGCTTAAAAATACACCTATTGTCCTAAAAGAAGATATCTTCCTTTTTAAAAGTACAATTTATTTGAGCATGAAATAACAATTTTTTTTTTTTTTTTTTTTTTTTTGAGACGGAGTTTCTCTGTAGCTTTGGAGCCCAGGAATTCACTCAGTACAGCAGGCTGACCTAAAACTCCCAGAGATCCACCTTCCTCTGCTGCTGGGATTAAGGATGTGCACCATCATGGCCTGGCTCCAATTTTGTTCTTTAAAAAGTTTAGAAACCTATGTGAAACTCTAAATGGTTAAAAATAAAGGTGTTTTCTCTTTATGAGAGAATATGAGCATATATAAAACTTAGAGTATTAAGCAGCACATTAATCGCTTTCTAGTCATGAGACAAGTACACACAAACCAAGTGGTAAGTAAGTGAGGTTTCACTGACAAGCTTGTGAAACTCTGTCCACAGTGAACTGCCTCCATAACACAAGGCATGATATTGGCAGTAGTGTCCACTCCCTTTCTGACTTACCTTTTTCCTTTTCTGAAGCACGTGACTGGGCAGCAGTTGATGGAGCTGTTTTCTTTTCACATGCATTGCAGCAATCTTCATGTCCAACTCAAACATTTTGCTGTTTATTGCTTGCCTATAAACTACACAACCAGACATTGTTTCAGACAACAGAAACTTTTTTTTTAGATTTTTATTTTTATTTTATTATGTATACAACATTCTGCTTCCATGTATATCTGCACACCAGAAGAGGGCACCAAATCTCATAATGGATGGTTGTGAGCCACGATGTGGTTGCTGGGAAATGAACTCAGGACCTCTGGAAGAGCAGCCCGTGCTCTTAACCTCTCAGCCATCTCTCCAGCCACCGAGAACAGAAACATTTTAATGAAGGAAGGCTTAAATTCATTCAGAAGAAAGTACTATAGGTGGAGAACCCTCCTTACTACCTGTCCCTAGTCTACTAATGGTGGGCAAGTCATGTATGTAACAAAGAGCAAATGTACATTCAATCCTTTAGCACTCTAGCTCTCTAGGTCAGAGAACCTGTGGGTTTTGATCCCTTTGGGGGTTGCATATCATATATCCACATTATGACTTATAACAGTAGCAAAATTACAGTCATGAGATAGTATAACAAAATAGTTTTGTGGTTTGGGAGGAGCGGTCACCACAACATTACAAACTGTATTAGGAATGCTGAGAACCACTGCTCTAGGTGCTAATAAACAGCAAGAATTACTATTTAGGAAACACCAGAATTAAGTATCCTGAACAACTGTGTCTATTGCCATTAGTTACCTCGTCTCTAACTTTAACTCTGATAAACACCACCTGCAACCCTGAAGACCTCTCACAAGCCATGTGGGGCTGGAGATTCTTGGCTGTTAAAGTCAGTGCTGCTCATGCAGAGCACCTCAGTTTGGATCCCAGAGTACCTCAAGCAGTGCTCAATCATCTGTAACTCCAACTCCAGGGGATCCAAAACCCTTTCCACAAGCACCTGTAGCCCCTCAAACATACCTCTACACACAGACACGAACAATTTAAATAAAATCTTAAAACCAGGAGATGTGTGGCACACCTTTAATCCCAGCACTCCAGAGGCAGAGAGAGGTAAAAACAGACAGATCTCTGTGACTTTTCAAGCCAGCCTGGTCTACACTGAGTTCCAGGTCAGCCATATCTACAAAATAGAAACTGTCTCAAAAAAATCCATAAACAAACAAAAATCCTAAAAAAAGAAAACTATTTTCAATGTAAAACTTTATCGTAAGTAATAATGTATTTTTTAACAATTTTTTTTAAGATTTTATTTATTTATTATGGATACAGTCTTCTGCCTGCATGCCAACAGAGGGCACCAGATCTCATTCAAGGTGGTTGTGAACCACCATGTGGTTGCTGGGAATTGAACTCAGGACCTCTGGAAGAACAGTCAGTGCTCTTAACCGCTGAGCCATCTCTCCAGCCCAATAATGTATTTTCTATTATGGAAAATAAACATAGGGGTTCTTAGGGGCTTAAAAAGAAGATGCTACGAGTAAGTACAAATTATTTAGATCCCAGTACCTCAAAATGGGAATATCAAGTAGTGTTCTGTGGTGCAGCGCCTGTAAATCTAACACTTAGTTATGAAGGCAGGGGGACCAAAGTTGAAAGACCCCTAAACTACAGAGTAAGTTCAAGGAAGTCTGGGCTATATAAGAAAAGAGGGGGAAATTCAGTCAAGTGTACTGCAGCAAATACTGGCTGCACAACCCTAAAACCGTGTTGTAGAAGCTGGAGACAGACAGAGCAGAAGCACAGGCAAGCTGCAGAGTGCAGTGGAGAGAACAGACTGTCAGGTGAAGATAAGGGGCTAAGAAGAAAGGAGAAACAGGCACTGACAACCTACGACCCAGATTCAGTCCCAGGACAGTCTAAGCTACAAAGCAAAACCCTATGCCAAACACCAAATGACTTTAGTGCACGGGTGCGGTCATAGTAGCCGGGCCTAATAGCGCTTCAGGAAGAAAAACCCCAAGACCACACACCTTGAGCAGGAACCACAGAAACCAAGGGGAGAGAGAGGACATGGTCAAGGTAATACTCCCTCACCTGCATTCCCCTAAATTCCTAACATAGAGCTTTTCTAAGATTGCCAGCAAGACTAAGCTAGGAAACATTCTGGGGCTAGAGAGATGGCTCACCGGTTCCCAGTACCCACCCAGCAGCCCATACCATCCACAACTGTTTCAGGGGCATTGATATCCTCTTCTGGCTTTTACAGGCACCAGGCACACACAGAGAACACATATATACACATGTATGCAATACATACACACATACACACATACACACATACACACACACACACACACACACACACACACACACACACACACACACAAAATCCTCACAAAATATTTTTGAAAGAAACCCTGATCCTAACTAGCTGTAGCTATTTGGCCTGTATCCATTGCTGCCTAAATACCAAGCCTTCCTTGCAAACTGCTACATAATTACCAAACTATGCTCTAGGATCTGCTGGGAACATGATTCCCCAATTTTATTACCTTTCTAGTCACAAAGTATACAGGCAATGGGGGTAGGAAAAGATGTTAATGTACTTTCCTTCTGCATAAACTGAACAGCGACTTAAGAGAGCATGGACCCATGGTATCTCACAGATCTTAGTGGCCAGGGTACCTTACACAAACAGCCAGTCTCAAAAACAACTTACACTGTAAATTTTAAGAGGTTTGCATGCCTCTCAGATAATGGGCCTTGACAGAATTCCCATGACAAGACCAAGCAACTTAACAGTAATAAAAGAACTATGGAACTTGCTCACTGCTTTTTCAGAGTGTGTGTCAATCAGTTCTGTCTGTTCATGCCTCAAAAGGTTCACACACCTTCTCAGTCAGTCCTCTTCCATACACTGTTTCACACATACTTAGTAACTAAAAAAGTGTAGCAGATACAATATGGCTCTGTTAGAAACAGGGCTCATCACTTCCCAGGCAGGTCAGAGCACTGGGTTTCACCAAGTTTTCTATGTACTATTTATGGGTTGTGGCTGACCACGAGTAATGCAAACTCCAGAGAGTAAATTAGCAGAAGACAGACTATTACTTATTGCCTCACTACAACTGGTATCAGTGACTCTTTAACCAATTGTCTCCATTTATCTCCCTCTCCCTTTTAAAAACTATTTTTAAATGTTAAATATATTTTCATAAGGGAAGCTGAGTAGAAAAAGTAAAAATGCTACGTCTTTAATCCCAGCACTAGGGAGGCAGAGGCAGGCGGATCTAGAACAAGAGCTAGATAGCCTCCAAAGCCACAGAGAATCCCTGTCTCGGGGGAAAAGCCAGAAGAAAAAAAAAATTGTGCTGGAAGAGAAAAGAATTAGTCCTTCAGAAAGATGCACCCATGTCCCTGGACGGCTCACAAATTCCTTGGAATGCTATGTATATCTACACACACAATCCACCACTACTGAATCCATTATTTTGTTAATGATCATTGTTCAATACTTACTCACTACAAAGAGCACTATTAACTATGTACATCAAGCAGAAATACCTGTATCCGTGAAAGACTGAATGTCATAGGTCAGGTCCACACTGAGATTTTCAGAGTTTTCAGTTTTTTTAAACACTAATCCAATCACCCACATTGTGCGGAATTCTTCCCTGCAAAGAACATTACCATAGGCCATTAGGATTCAGGAGAGCATGGCTGTCAATGGAATGACTACCTAGGTGAGGTGGGAAATTCTAAGTCATTGTAATGAGTTTAAAGTATTAATTATTGGCTAAATGTGTTCAAAATAGTATAGGGAAGAAGCATACTCTCTAAATGGTTAACACATGTCCATAATGCTAGCATTTCAGAGGCTGAGGCAGGTGGATTACTATATTGAGGCCTGGGCTGGGCTATATACAAGACCCTATCTCAACTAAATTCAAATAATTCCTTTATATGAAACTAAAGGAGAAAAATCAAATTATTTCATCAGAATACTATAAAATAAGAGCAAACTCAAGTGACCTTAAACTCTGCTTTCTGATCATCCTTTTTCAAAGTTTATCACTCAATTGCTCTAACTTGCAAGTGTGAAGGAGCAGGAATGAAAGCATCAGTTGAAAGCATCAGTTGACGTCAGAAACCCTAAACAAAAAGCTGAGCCTGCTTTTAAACACTTGCCAATCTCTGCAATAGTCCACATTCCATCATGAATCAGATATTTGCAAGTTTAAATCAAATTATCTCCCCTTAAAAGCAAAGATAGATGTTTGAAAGAACAGCCTACAACTATTACATAAAACTGAAGGAATGTGGAATATTCAAAATTGTTATTAGGACAGATCTACAGAGTATCAATACCTAATTAGGTAACAGACCACATCATCAGGGACTATTACTGGAGAAAACAATTTTATTTCAGTGCTGACTCTTCAAGACTACATTTCTGATCAGGAAAAACACTGACATAAGTACCAAATAAATAATCACCAAAAGACTTATGCTCTACCCAAAAAATAATAAACCAAGGATGACAGCTAAGGCACACTTCTTTATAAAAGCTATATCCAGAAGCAAAGAAAAGTCAGTAAATTAAAATCAAACAACCTCAGATACACAATCAGGAGTTTATAAAAATTAAAAAAAAAAAAAAAAAAAAAAAACCAGGAAAAATGGAGATACATCACCAGCAAACAGCAAAGCCACCTACAGTCTCCCTATAGCAGGAAATGGTGGCATATACCTGTATGCACAGAAAGGACCAGGCTGAAATTCAAGATCACAAGTTCCGGGTCACTCTGGGCTACAAGCAAGACCCTGTCTCAAAAACCATAATCAAAATCAAACTGCTTATAAAAGCATCTACAACTAAGTTGAAAGGATAGGAAAATGGGATTCAATTAGAAACATGCTTACTTGTCAGGATTTTCTTTGGGGGCTGGAAATGACTGGGGGTTCACATGCGCCAGTGTAATAAACTCATTCTTCTCCAAGCTTCCAACCAGGATGCGGATTTTTGATTCCACCAAGCCCACCCTGGACAAACATCATTGATATTAGTGACAGATTCTATTAAAAATTTCACATGCAAATCAAGTTTTCATGTAAAAAGGTAATATAAGTATTGTATATAATACACATACCAAGGCAGTTCAAATGATTGAACTATTCACCTAAAGATAAAACTGAGACTTAGGATCTAACAAGTGTCAAACTGGATGAAGAGGCAACTTCATCTAAACAGAAAGTTAGGAGAGATGTCCCAGGTTTAAACATCAGCAAGGTAAGCCAAGCAACTGAAGAGCAGTCAAGAAGTGAGCTGTGGGGCTTTCTGAGGAGGTGTGCAAGCTTCTTTAGGAAGAGATGCCCCCCCAGGACCTGTGTGCTGAGCTATCTATCAGCTATCAGATTCGTTTGGGAAAGCCCCCTCTTACTACTTACCATTCCAGACGCTGCTTTTCCGTGGGCGCACTTGCTAGAAGTACAATATAATGCCTTTGAAGATAAAGACAACATGCTATTTATTTTATTTATGTGCTTTGTGTTGGATCTTATAACCATAATGTAATAAGCTTCCTCCCATTTATAAACCAACATTCATTCAGCAAAGGAGTTTGTGATCAGTGTGCACATAAAATCATATAAATTAAATGCCAAGTTTTTACTATTGGCAAGCTGGATTTTCTACAGCAAACTATGAATAATTACCAAAAGAGTAGCTGAATTTTGAAGCTGAGAAAACATTAGTGGTAATTTTGCTCAACACTCCAGCAGAGTGTTCTACCTATAAAATTAACAAAAAAAATCGGAAAACAATCTATGGAAAGAAAACTTTTCATCCATGAAACAAGGCTCTTGACATAAAAACCACTAGTAAACATATTACAAAAATTAATTTCAAAACATTATATACATCAGGCTTTGCGCACTTATCAAACAGGATCTGGAATCAGGCCCTCCACCTACCCAAACCAATAGTATATACCTCTACAACAGAGATGCAGCTACCTACCCTGAGAAAAGAACGGGATTTCTACTCAGAACTTCTCATTTAAAATGTAGAAATGCCAAGTTGTTTTTTTTATTTTTCCCCCCCAAAAATAGCAGCATGGGCAAGTATCTTATGACTTTTAAAAGCCATTAGGATTAGTAGAAAATTCCTTTTCCTTGCACTAGTAACCGAACGAATCACTGCATATTCCTCTAATAAGTACTGCAAGCTGAGTTTTACATATTACAAAAAACTTTACCTCAGCTGGGCATGGTGGTGCATGCCTTTAATCCAAGCACTCAGAAGGCAGAGGCAGGCGGATCTCTTGTGAATTCAAGGCCAGCCTGGTCTACAAAGCAAGTTCCAGGACAGCTAAGGATGTTACACTGAGAAATCCTGTCTCAAAAACAAAACAAAACAAAACAAAAACTTTATCTCAAAAGCAAAATGCCATCATTACCTAGTGGATACTAGACAGTAAAGTACCAGTATGGGCTAGTCTTCGAAAAGTCTGGAAGTTTTCTAATGCTTGCTCACATTTTGCAAGCAATGTTGCTACTCAAAAGACAAAGCTACCAACCAGTTACCAAAAAGGAAAAAAAAAAAGAATGTTACAGTCTGATGACTTAAAATATGCCTTCGAAGAATCCATCAACGAAAAGGTTGTTCAAATTTTCAAGACTTTGCAACTCTAAACAGCTCTAGGAGATATCTGTCACCTAGACAATAAAAATGACTTTTTTTTTTTTTTGGTGGAAAAGTGCTGTCAAATTAACTAAATTAACAGAAAGTTATAAACTCAAAGAAAAACATACAAAAGCCCAAGACATACAGAGATGAGGCATCTATAAAATATATGGAATATACACAGCTATGGAGTCATGTAATCCACATCCACAGAAATGAGTATTTCCTTCCCCATTTGGTCAGTATTAGTTCAAAACAAGCCAAGCACAGTCAGCAATCATGTAAAAGCACTAAAATTTCATATACTGTGTACAGAGAAACTTAATCTAGGAATCATACAAACCAACAAAAACCCTGTCATGCTTAACCACATTGCTTAGTTACTGAGCCACTAAAAGGGGTGACCTCATCTTGGGAAAGTGGACGAAAGGTGGAGCAGGTAACATCCAAGTATAAATCCTGACATACATTGAGAACCTCACAAGCATCAAGCTGCCAACGCTTTATACAGCATAGCTTTTCTAATTTAAGTAGGACTTATTACCCAGGCTGCACAGGAACCTCCACCTCCCAAGTGCCTGCATCACCACACCCAGTATCAATAGTTTTTTCTCTCACTGCCCAGAAAATATTCTTATTGATCACCTGAGTCTTCAATAAAAGTTAACTGAAGCACAATGCTTTCTATTTATAAATAGATACAATCCAAACTAATATTGTTGGCAATTCAAATTTCAAAATTTTGAAGCCTATAGTTCAATTTGACTATTCAGGAAATCCAATGGAGTTCAGTTTCTTCTCTGTATATTATTTAGACACATGTACATTATTTTCATATAAATAAGATTTAGAGGGATAAATTTATATGCAGCTATATATAGACAAGCGATATAAAATAAGTTTATAAAAACAAGCTGCAAATCTTTTAGATTCACTAGAAATACATCTCCAAGAAACTAAAAATCTCCAATTAATTTTCTAAAAAATCTACATTTTTATATATTTTACTTTTATGTGTATGGGTATTTGGCCTGCATGTTTTTCTGTGCACCGTGTGCATGCATCACCCACAGAGACCAGAAGAGGGTGTCAGGTGCCCTGAACTGTTATTACAGACAGCTGTGAAGCACCAAGAGGTCCTGGAAATTGAACCTGGGTCTTCAGAAAGAGCAGTCAGTGCTCTTAATTGATGAGTATCCTTCTAGTTCTAAACTCTGCATTTAAAAAAACCAGAACTAGTATTTAACTCTCAAGGTCCCTCCAGACCAGAAGGATTTCTAGACTATTTTGTTGTCCCCCAAAATGTGATACTCTTTATGTCTGCTAGGCATCAGCTAGCTTGAATGTCTCCAAGGAAAATCTAAGTTTTCCCCTAAAAAGTTTTAGGTGTATGTTGGCACACACACACACACACACACACACACACACACACACACACACACACACACACACACACACACACGATATTCCAAATGAATTAAAATTTATATAAAAATGTTCTGGGGCTAAGAATGTACTTCAGCCAGCAGTGTTTTCTTACATAAAAAGTTCGAAGAATACTTTAGTTGTTATACTGTAAAAGCTATTTACCAAACAAGCATTTTGTAAGTAGGTTTCTTGGGGATTTCATCTCAATACTTTACCTGGGTAGATCATAATTCAGATACGAGGCACTGAAAGAAAAACCTATCTCTTAGTCAAAATCCTTTCTCTTTAAATCCATAACCAAGAATTAGGGTACACTATTGTAAGGTATGTTTCTGGGTTGGGGTTGGGGGGAGATCATGTATCCCAAGCTAATTGGGAACTTGCTAGGCAGCTCAGGCTGGCCTTGAATCTTGGTCCTGTCTTTGCCTCCAGAGTACTGAGATTACATATGTTCCCCACCAAACCCAGATTTCATAACCAATTATAAGGCTAAATTTTTATGATGTATCATTTCCCTGATATCTCTCTCCCTGTTTCTAGTGAAACACAATGCCTAAAATGACTATTATTCACATTTCCTAATGTCCAGGATTTGTTAACAATCTTTCAAGAGATTATTTCTTAAAAGTTTGAAAATTTACAGTCACTCCTTTATCTGGGCTGATACCTGTTCCCCTTTAAAGTGGATAAGTTCACACTGATGAATGAGATCTCTATGGTCCTCCTCCCTTCCAAGAATAACAGGGGTATTTCACACAATTTAAAATCCTAAATAAAGAAAAGGTAGTACTTTCAAGGCATGCTTCACACAAACCCAAACAACTTTCAGTCACAGCAAACTAAGAATTCATCCACTTCAGGTTTCAGCATAACTGGTGTTTCCTAAGAAGACACATTTGAACTACTAGAGTTCCGTGAGCCTGAGACAAGTCAGTCCCCAGTGTGTCTTGAAGGACATTAGTGCAGAGCAGATCTTTCTTACATTCACCAGGACACTCAGGACTTAAGATTCTGTGAAATAAACATACTGCTACATCCTCTTCTTTTTAGTCTTTTTAAATAAAAATGTCTGGCACTCAGGAGGCAGAGGCAGGCATATCTCTGTGAGTTTGAGGCCAGCCTGATCTATAGAGTGAGTTCTGGGATGGGCTCCAAAGCTACAGAGAAACTCTGTCTCAAACACACACACACACACACACACACACAGTCTGACTGTCTCAGGTGTCAAGTATCAACAACTAAAAAAAGCCTCTATATATTTTCTCAAACAAAAGCAACAACACACACACACACACACACACACACACACACACACACACACACACACACACGAGTCTGACTGTCTCAGGTGTCAAGTATCATCAACTTTTTGCCACCAGAACCTTACAGGTGCTAGAGCAAAGACTCCAATGTGCTTAAAGCCCCAACAGTGTCAGTGTATACAAGCTGAATACAGAGTACAAGAAGCTACTAAATCACAAGTTCTGCTCTCCAGCTCTTGTGAGACAGGAATGGATGTGAGACAGGAAAAGGAAATGCTCAAGTTTGAGACTGACAACTGAGGAACACTGGTATCTGTCTTTGAGACCTTATTGTTCTCAATGTAACTATGTCTTGTGTATGGTAGTTTTCAAATGTTGGCATAGGATTGTTAAATGCTCACTGGTCATTTAAAAAAAAAAAACAGAATTGTCTGCCAACGGAAAGTAAGATCTAGTGTATGAGCAATGAAACACAAGCACTCTGATACTATGCCATTTCTACGACTTACTGACAACACAGTGTTCCCAGACACAACAGTTAAACTGGCTCCATCACTGCTTTTTCATGCAAATACAGAAACAAAACACGGAGACATCATGAAGGTCATCATTCTTACTTTTAATTTGGGAAAAGTATAAAATAATTTTGCTTAAATTATTGTAACAAAACACAATCCAACACAAAATCAAATGGTCAGGAAAGTCTCAAGCATTAAAGCAAAAATTTAAGTGGGACTTTGCTCATTTTTCAGCCCAGGGCAAATAAAAGTTCGAGTCCATATTTGGTTTTTGTTCTTTCTTTAAGATTTATTGTATCTTACATTTATCAACACAACACAATTCACGAGGCTTTTAACCTCTAAAGTGTTAAAGCATTATATCAAAGACATTAATAAAAATTATACCCACTTAAATTGTTAGAAAACTGTTTGCAGACAGATTTTTGAAAGGGGAAATAGGTCGATGATGTGCTACTAATTACTTAAAACATTAAATCAGCCAAACTGACATTTCACTGGGTCTCTGCATGTTCTAAATACCCTGGTAAAAAGTTTCTTGTGAGAGAACTAAAACTAGATAAAGAGCTCACCTGCTTGCTAAGGTGCAGACTGTCCTGGTGACAAGTGACAAACCTAGAACTGAGGCTGGGGACATACAGCAGGAATGCTAGTTCAATCAAGCAACAGAATTCTAAGGCTGACACATTGTATTGATAAAGGGGAGGGGAAAGGTACTGAAAATGCTAAGTCCTCTGTGACAAAAAGGGAAACTACAGACACGAGAGAAAGACTCCAAAGGTCACGGTCACTGATCTGTCAAGGAGATACCGCATATGCCACTGTTAAACCACTACTTAAGAGCAACATGGCTGACATGCCTTAAAATACATACTTGTACTTCTGAAAGAAGTTTGGAGCTTCAAAAAGTTTGGACCACTCTGCCTTACTCAGCAAAATTTCATCAGTGATAGCAAGACCTAAATTAAAAACATATTAGAATATTTGTATGTTTCAACCTAACAATCTAGAATTTAAATAATGTTAAACGTACCACATGCATTCACTATAATCTTAAACATTAGCAAATGGAAGATTTTACTTCCCTAGAGTACTTTTTATACATATTTCAAAAGCACTGGAGAACTTCCCGAGAACCACATTCCTGGTAAAGTGCCATTAGTAATAAAATGTCATGCTCACAGGAAGGCTCACTCAAACCGAAGCACAGTAGTTCCCTGAGAAAGAAAGGTCCCCCACATGTTTCTGCTTTTTTAGAAACAAGTTACTGCTATCTCTAATGGGCCAAGAATCCTTCCCCATTAAAAAGCTTCCTTGCATGAAGTCAAGAGTACTCAACAAGGCTGAAGACTGTACATAGCCTTTTCTACCCGACAACTTCAGCCATCTTGGTTCTTTGAAGAATTAAGATAGAAATTAGCAATACCTTTAAATTTATAATAAATTAAGGCCCTAAGGCAAGGATCTTCTCAAAGGCAGTTTTGAGTCCTAACCACACTCCAAATTCTTTCCTAGGAGTGTAAAAAACCCATACATCCCATCACTCATGAAGACAAATGGCATCAGCTCTGATGTTACAAGGCTCTGATATAGCCCTGAACCAAGCCATAATGTCTTAAGTGTACCTTCATTTTCCAACAATTCTGCCATAGTAAACTGCTAAACCTGTTGAGTTACTCTGCAATATGTGATCAAAAATAAATGCACAAATCCAATTTGGTAATTCAATTAAATCACACACTAGCTAACTGTTGGGTCTGAGACAGTAGGCAGACCCTCATGTATAAAGTAGAGCAGAAGCAGAAACACTTACCTTGTTTAAACTCCTCAACCATGACCATCCGTGTTGAAACGGACACATTGTACGTGGAGTTCTGCTGTGGGTATGCTGGTGTAATTATAGGCATAAGATGGTACCTATCACTGGGGTTTACCTACATACAACAACAGCCAATCAGTTTCTTCAAGTATATATACAACAGACACTTGGACTTTTACCCCTTGTTAAACTGAACCAATGATTACATTTTACTTCATTCATAGCTGTAGTTGAGAAATAAAAACCATGTCAGGAGACTGTTTTATAGAAACTTTTCACAGAATGAGAGATCTAGTCATAGTCTGTTCCCATGCTGGAGGCATGACTACCTTGCAACCTTATTGCATGTACCTGCTGGGCAAAAACAAAGCAAAACAAAGATGTAGTTGCAAATCTACTGCTTTTCCTTATTCAGCAGCATAAATGAGGGTGCCTGCAGAATTACACTTCTAAGTGTTCTTACTTATAAAACTCAATTTAAACAAGATGGGACTGACCTTCTAACCTTTCGGCGACAGAACCTTAAGCTTATTAACAAGGGTAGAACAGCTCTGGGCTGGTGAGACAATGGGCTATTATTTAGTGAGTACTCATCTGTACACTAAGTAGTTCAATCCCACAAAGGCAACAACTCACTCTTCCTAATGCCTTCAAGCTTAAGCAAATTGAAAGCACACAGCTTTGAGGCAGAGCCTGAATTAATTAAAAGACTCTGACATTGTAATAAATAAATGTATAAAAAAAACATAATCTCAAAAATCTGGAAAGTTTAGATTCAAAGATTTCCTTTTATCAATTAATAAAGCTTACGTTACTAACACCTATAAAGTATAAGCGGTAAATGCTGTCACTTCACATTTCTGTATCTCTGAAGCATCTTAACAGGTTTCTACAATTACAGCACAGTCACTGCAATAGTGCTTAGGAGCCATCTGCTACATAGAAACACTATGAAGAGCTTTCTACATCAAGCCAAATTTAACAAGATACTTAGATCAAATAAAAAAATATACAGGGATTTTTAGTATCCTTTTATTATTTTTTTAAGCACAAACACCCACACAACTTTGACTTACAAGATAGTTGTCTATGGAATGAGTTAGTGAAATCTGTGTCAACCATGTACATTAGATGTGGTTTACAAGGTCCATCATTACACTTCTCACACCAGGGGAATATAGAGAGCCGGTCATCTAGAACAAGGGTGCTATGAGTGAGTCCACTCATCTCTAAGGACTGGGCGGCCTCCTGGAAGTTTGTGCAGGTGACTTTTGTTATTGAACAGTGTGAATTTGTAGGGGAAAAAATAATACACTAACCCTTGGGTCCCACACAGGCAAATTAAGATTGCATTCTTCAGGCTGTTTCAATAGCACTGGATTTGGCCATTCCCTGTTCAAAAAGATTGTAGCACTTGATAAGACTACTGGACATTAGCATCTAAACGTAATTTGTTAAACATACAGCATTTGTGAATGTGACCCTACTTCATTCACTCAACCCACTTGGCATATACACCACAGCCTCTCATTCCTTTCCTCTATAAAATTAGCCATTTGATGGTTTTCTCAAACTCATAGCAAACACCTGCTCTGCCACCAAAGAACTGATAAAGCACTATGCAAATAAAAAAGTGTCATCTCAAGACATCTAATGTGTTCACCTCAACCCTTAACAAGGTCAATCCCATTTAGAGGAAATAAAGATGCTGTCTTCACACTAATTCCATTCACGGACATACCAAAGAGCTAGGATAACTGTCAAAGTCAACAAGGACAGTGCTTCCCATATATTACTACATATAATACAGTAAAGCTGGAAATATATTACGAATGCTACTTCAGTCACTTACAGAGATCAAAGATGAAAAAAATGTTGTCCTTAGTATAAATCAAGCTGGCTAATTAAATGTTTGTATATCGCCTTAGGGGAAGTTCTAAGTCTCTGATCTTATCACATCTCACTCTACATGACAAAGCAAAGCAATACTGGAATACTGGAAAGTATCTAGTGTAATTATAAATTATATCCATGGAGTCCAACTGTTACAAAGTGACTACAAAGCAACAATTCTGCTTTCACATGGAAGAAAGGAAGGAGCTGAAAATATAGAAAGACAAAACTTTTTAAGATAATTTGATTAAAAGCCTAACATTTTGGGTCAAGGTAACCACCACAAATTGGCAGTGTCTTGGGCTTTTCTTAAACCAAAATTCACCAATATGAACATCTTTATGAGGAAACTGGACTAGCAAGTCTCAAAGATTCAGAGACTACATTTGTTTCTTGGTCACTTAATGTATCTTTCTTAAAAATTCTTATAAAAAGACACCTTTAAGGTTTTTGCCAAGATCATGAACAGCTGAAAGTAAAAAGCAAAACAAAATCACAAAAAAAACAAACAAACAAACAATGGTCTATGGATTTGGAAGCATTCAGAATAAAAGTAGAGGTGTGTGTTAAGTTCTAACCAACCTATTAATACATCAGATGTCAGCACACATTATAGTAGCTGAAGTTCAGAGTTTATTTGGAGGGTAGACTCACACACATAGCACAGGTATTATCTGCCTTATGACCCTGGCAGAACTAGGGAAAAGAAGTGAAGTTTAGGTTTGCCTTTTCATATTACCAAGTCTCTTCCCAAAGGGTAGCTGAATCTTGAACTAAAACTGGCTTGGTTTTTGTCGGTATTGGTGACTGAACATAGGGCCTTGAATGCCAGGCAAGCACTCTACCACTGAGCTACATACACCCTTAGCCCACAAACTAAAATTGGAATCTGAAACCAGCTGTAGAAATGTCATAGAAATAAGACTAAACTTCAGTGTCTACAATCAATTTTATTGTAATATAATCTAAAAACATACCATTTAGAAAATACCAAGAAAAATTTATGTACAAGAGTTGATGCTATTGCATTTGGATAAAGCTGGCAAGTTCTTGCTACTAGCATAGCCCAGGAAACACCACCGAGGAAACCTAATATATTGGAATAGATGTTGTGCCCTGTTGATAAGGGAAAAGCAAAAAGATAAGTTAGTGTTGATGAAGAGCTTAAATGTTTTTAATAAGCTAGCCAACAAATTCTGAACTCACGTTTGGCCCACAGTTTGATGGCTCTCAGAGTTAACCTGAAGTTGTCAATGTTTGGTACTAGATGTAAAATCTCATCGGTTACCCTGCAACCTGATTAACAGGAGTAAGAAAAACAGATTAAGCCACCAAAGGTATATAGTACATTCAATTTTCTAAGACTATCCTCAAATTAACACCTTATGTAATTAAGTAGTTAAAAGGCATGAAATCAGGTAGTTAGTTCCTGTCCCAAGCATCATCCTAAACCAAAACAAACACTCTGTAGTAGTGTTCCCAATCTCAAACTTGCAACTCATATCGGAAACTTTTTCCTTTCCAATGTCCTGAAGAGTTAGTAGTCCACCTAAGCTTCCAACAGTCATCCCAAAGTACTGGTAATGGTAATGAGCTATCCTAACTTTTTTTTAAAAGAGAAAAACCCTTTCACTCATCTGATAACATTATAAAGCAACTATGAAGTGCAAATTAACAAAAGCTACACAGTAAAACCTCAATTACTAGCAACATTACAAATGTCAGCCTTTTTTAGGAGCTCACATACCATTAATAACCAGAAAAACTAAGGTAGGTTAGCAAATAAACTACCAGACACAGCTCTGTAGTCTACCAGGTAAAGAATGTTTTATTATAGTCATTATACATTAACAACTGGCTACAAACAATTTCACTAACAAAACATACATTTTAAAAACTATTGTTCACTATTTGATTTAAAAAAAAAACCCTCCAACTCCACAAAAGAAGGCTTCTACATACCATTAAGGCTTCTTATGCATCTTATATCTAGGTTTTTAAGTAGACTGTCATCTCGTAGGTCCAAATCTTCTGGAATAGTCTGCAGTGCTAATCTTGCAAACAAAATATCAATCTAAAACAAAAATAAAATCTAACATTCCATATCTGTCAAGCTAATTTTAAGGCATTTCTATTTTTTAAAAAAATTTGTAAAGCCCTCATCAACTATGAATGTTGCAATGGTTACAATGGGCTCACAAGAAGCCCACAATATAGACACAGACATATTAATCAGAGGCTAAAACACGGGAATTGTGATATGAAATAGAACTTAACATATACCACATACCATTTTAAATAAAAGTATCCTACTAATCTTGCTAAATGCATACACTGGAATTCTGGCTTAGCATCTCTAGGAGCCATAAGCTGGCTGCTTATTTAAAGGGGCAAACAAGTCCCCACTGTGATGTTTGCTTCTGCTACTTGGGGGATGAGGCGGCAACAGAGGATTATCTGGAGTGGTGCAGATACACTCGAATTAAACTCAGAAAGGAGCTTGCACACTCATTTATTTTTACATAAAAAGAAAGCAAAACCAGTAGGTAAATGGGATGTCACCTTATATTTTAATCAGTTTTATATTTAAATACTGGCTACAAATAAATTACATAAATTTAATTCTTAGCCAAATTTAACATTTTTTGGCTTATTACAGTCAATAGCAACTCTAAAAACTAACCCAAGTACATTATTTTAAAAAAAGAAAAAAAAAAAAAAACAGGAAGTTATCATTCTTTCAGTATCTCAAGTTTTATAATCAGCAACATTATCATCAAGGTGTCATTAATCTTACAACAGAAGTCAAGTAACTAAGAAGCAACCCTGCACCAAAAGCCTTCTGTGCTCCCCAGAGGCAGCAGGAGAGGCAAACCCCAGGACAGGGCGCTAACTAACTCTCCTACCAAATTACTTAAAGCACTGCCAGCTCACACAGCCCCCATCTTTCAAAGTATCTAGGGATATTAGCATAAAGAGCAAAGTTCCCTCAAAACAAACCGTGTAAATTTACATGGGAACAAACTATCACAGAACTGTTCTGCAACAGCTTCCAGTCCTTTGCTTCAGCTCACACTTCCACTTGCTGTTAGAAAAGAACCTAACACATATACTCTATAAGAACAGGCACCCATTTCCATAACAAAAAATTTGTTACTATCAACCAACTCACAAATTCTTACTGGCAATCAAAATTTTTATCTACACTGACCCAAATCCAGGACAGTCCACGCTAGGACTAGACCTTACCTCTATTCCATCAAAACAGAGTTTAATAACTGGGACAAATGCTTCTTCAACAGCCTGTGAGAAAGTGAACACAAAATATTTAGTTCCTGAAGCTTCATCATAAGCCCACATACATGCTTCCACTATTGTATTCACAGTGTGTCTGAGCAAAGGTCTCATTTAGTTCAAGCTGGACTCAAACCAGCCACCCAGATGAAAATACCCTGAACTTCTGTTCCTACTGATTCTACTCTCCAAGTTCCCAAATTACAACAGGTGTCTTACATGTGGCTATTACTGTCACTTTTTAAAACAAGGCACTTGAAACTGTTTCAACATAATTTAGCATAATGCCCAACAGGAAACAAGTTCTTAGCAATAAACTTTTAACACTCAAAAACCCTTCATTTCTGTCATAGGCTGCTCTTAGATTATTTATTATTCATTTTGTTTGCTTCTATTTCCTAATTTCTAAGGAGTTTACAAGTTTATTATCCTAGTTTTGCTGTAAAATACACAAGGTAAGTATATGCTGAGTGCTCAAAATGGCTGGCAACTTGGAACAGCTCAATTAGTGATTCCTCTCCCTTTAACATAAATTTCTCTCAAAGGACTAAATAATATTTTTAACCCTTCCTTTCTAGCCCCAACATTTACATACTCTTAAGTCTTTTACTTCTTCTTGTAATTTCAATTTATCATAGAATGAGGTGAAAAAGTCACTCCGATCAACATGTCTTGGTGCAACACACAATGCATCAATATCAGCACCTTAAAGAAGAAAAATTCAGCCATCACACAGTAGTACAAAGAAGCTGCCTTGTATCTTAGCATTAACAGTATTTGACATTAATTGACAGGATATCAGCAAGTTCTAGAACTTAACCTCCCAACAAAAACAACCAATCAGTGAGGAAAGGTAATGGTAACTGATGGGCATACTTTACTTTTCTTCAGACACACTGTATTTAAATTGGACTCCATAAACAAGTCAAAAGAAGGATAAGGCAGAACTTTCCAACTGAGCACTTATCCTTGGTCTTGGTGTCATTCTTAAAGCACAAGCCAGGTGGTGGCAGCACACACCTTTAATTACAGCATTTGGGAGGCAGAGGAAGAGGCAGAGGCAGGCAGATCTCTGAGGCCAGCCTGGTCTACAAAGTTGAGTTCCAGGACAGCCAAGGCTACACAGAGAAATCCTGTCTGAAAAAACCAAACCAAAACAACAAAACACCCCCAGTTTTCCTCTATGTCCTTTTCACTGGTACACAGAGCTTCTCTTCTGATAGAAGTAAACTTAAAAACTCAAATGGAAAGATCTCAAAAGAATCAGGTCAATTCTCAAGACCAGACTTCTACAAAGCATCACCTGCAGTGCACCCTACAAGGCACACAGGGCATATCCAAGGTAAATATATTACAGCCGAACAGAGCAATGAATGAGACAAAGAGAACAGAGTGCCAAGGCTTTCACATGGCTTAAGTCTTGTACCTGAGACATACGCACTGGTTCTGTCTCTTTTAAGACTCTGACTCTTATTTTTGAGAGTGAAATTACTTTAGGAGTAAATAAGATAATGAAGATTAAGAACACAGTTACTGCCAAGCGTTGGTGGCTCACACCTTTAATCCCATCACTCAGGAGGCAGAGGCAGGCAGACCTCTATGAGTTCGAGGCCAGCCTGGTCTACAGAGCAAGTTCTAGGACAAGCTCCAAAGAAATACAGAGAAACCCTGTCTCAAAAAAAAAAAAAATTAAGAACCCAGTTCCTGGGGTTGGTAAGGTGGCACAACCCAACATTAGTTCCCAACATCTATATGGAGGCTTACAGCAGTCCTTTAAACCCCAGCTCCAGGAGACTGAACGCCCTTTTCTGGCTTCTGCAGGCACCCATCACACACGTGGTACACATATATGCACACACACTAGAAAATCCACATACAGACAAGTTTTTTAAGAAGAAAAAAGTGATTACCAGTAGCTATAAGAAAATAACAATAGCTTAGATTCTTCTCAAAATCAGTGATACTTTTCAAACAGAAGAAAAAATCTACGAAAAACTGTCCACAAACCACACTGAGAGCTGCTCTGCACCCGCACTTTCCAATACAGAAAATGTGGCTTACTCCACTGGGGAGCTGATTATACACTTCACTGCATTGCAGACATCAGGTATAGAAGGCTCCTTGCTAATCTAAGCTTGTGTATAACTCATAAAAAAACCTGTCATAATCATATATATATATTAAAGGTTTATTGATGTATATAGGTATTTGTCTGCATGTGCATCTGCACACAAGAATGGGGCATTGGAATTCATGAGATTGCAGTTATAGATGGTGTAGGCGGATATGTGGGTGCTGGGAACTGAACTCAGGTCCTCTGGAAGAGCGGCCGGTGGTCTTACCCATTGAAGCATCTCTCCAGCCCTCAACTGTCAAAATCTTCAGAAATAAAAGTTCTATTAACTCAAAATAAGTAAATTATTACCTACCTTTCGTATGTACTCCTAGTCTATAAGATCCAAATGTAAAAATTTTTCCTCCAACATTTTCAATTACAGATTGTGGAAGATTCTGTTGAACAAAAAACAGTGATTGTCAGTAAAGCATCAGGAAAACCACTTCAGATGATATAACAGCTTATTTCTAAGTTGTTATTTGTCAATGTAGTGTGTGTAGGGCGGCTCCTTTCTGGGTGTTTGTTTTAAGACAAGTTCTTAACTGTGTAACCAGGCTGACCTCAAAGTCACAATCACCTGCCTCAATCTCCAAAGTCCAGGAAAAATAAATGTAATTTAGTTTGAAATAAAAGAATTATGAGACATACACCCCCCCAAAAAAAAAGAATCATGAGATCCAAAACTATTCAGTTAAGACTGCCTTAGGTCATGTCAGCCTGAGCTACCAAGTCAGCACATCAAGACTCAATCAATCAATGGATAGAAAACCAAGCACAGGCCTTGCCTTATGAGGGTCCATTTTCATCAACTCAGAGTCAAGCTATACACAGAATACAAACCAAACAGAATACAAACCAGAGAGAAAATAGTTTGTTAAGCCAAACTATTTTTCTTAAATCTGGAGCTCTTCCCAGGGACACACACAGAAAGAAGAACTGTATCAAAATTCACTCATTTGCCAGGCACAATGGCCCAACACTTACAAGCTTAGCTCTGAAAAAGCCAAACAGCAAGATCTTGCCTCAATACCCAACCCTTGGGAGGCGGAGGCAGGCAGATGAGTTTGTGCCAGCCTGATGATCTACAGAATGAGTTCTAGGATAGCTATAGCTAAGGCTACACAGAGGAAGTTCAAAACCAGTAAAAATAAAGACCACCAATATCTAAATAATTAAGAGTTGTTAGTTCAAATCAGGTAAGGTGTCTTACGACTATACTCCCAGTACTTGGCAGGCTAAGAAAGGAGGTTCATTACCTCTGTTTAAAATATATAAACATGCACTTTAAGAAAACTATCAATTTACCTAAAACCAAGTGACTTTGACTTTTCCTTAAATTGATACCCTCTCTGTCCTCTGAGTCTTTCTTTCCTTGGTTCTCCAATTTTTCAGTTACATATAAATTAAGGATGCACTTTCTATTACAGCGGAAAAACTATTGCTATTTATGGAACTTTTAAAAAATGTTTCAAGGGGCTGGAGAGGTGGCTCAGAGGTTAAGAGCACTGACTGATCTTCCAGAGGTCCTGAGTTCAATTCCTAGCAACCACATGGTGGCTCACAACCATCTATGATGAGACCTGGTGCAGGTAGAACATTTTATACATAATAAATAAAATCTTTAAAAAAAAATGTCAAATATATTCCACACAGCTCTAAAAACATGTTTCCTTTACTACTAAGTCTACCAATGGACTTCCTTAATTGTGTGAATGAGTACAGAAATGCCATAACTAAACAATTATGTTCTGTTTGAGTATCTGAGTATCTAAACTAAAAACTTAAAAAAAAAAAAGGCTTCGTAGTTAAGAGTACTGGCTGCTCTTCCAGAAGACTCAGGTTCAGCTCCCAGCACCCACGTGGTAGCTCATAAAATCTATAAATGTAGTTCCAGGGGATCTGATGTCCCCCTTCTGGCCTCTTCAAGCACCAGACACATGGTAGGCAAAACACCCATATACATAAACAAGTAATTAAAAACAAACAAGCTATTCCAGGACTTTTAACAAGACAGTTAAGATTCTCAAGTATGATAGGAACTAAATCTAGACATGGGACATTCCAAATATATAGCAAGGCTTTTTTTTTGGGGGGGGGGGGGGGGGTCCAAGACAGGAGTTTCTCTTCCCTAACTGTCCTAGAACTTGTTTTGTAGACCAGGTTGGCCTTGAACTCAGACATCCGCCTGTGATGTGATTAAAGGCATGCACCACCACCTCCTGGCAATAGTAAACCATTTTAAACCACTTTTATTGTTTGATTAGAGACAAGGATAGGCTAACCTCAAACTCTCAATCCTTCTATCTCCACCTTCCAAGTGGTGGGACTGCCGACCAGTGCCATGTCCACCTTACTCAGGGGAATCCTCCCTGAAGTGATTCTTGAAAAATGGCAGTAGTTCAGAATTACTGGCTCCAACTTTAAAATTCTGTAACCAGGGTGCACTACTTTTTTTTTTTAATGTCACTAATTTCAGTTGGCTTGTTTCAAAATAACAAGAAACTTGAAACATACCTAGCCATAGCACTGAGGAGGCAGAGGCAAGTGAACCTCTGTGTTTTAGGCCAGCCTGGTCTATATAGTGAGCTCCAGAGCAACTCACAGCTAACCCCTACCTCAAAACCAAACAAACCACAAAGACTGACTTCGCTCAAGTAGGGCCAGCTGATATAGGACAGCTGGCATCACCTTACCTTGCTTTCACTGATTTCTCGTATCCATTCTTTCACCAGGTTATTTAATTTTCCCAAAATTAAAATCCTGTTGATAAAACAATTATCAAGTTATTCATTATTACAGAATAAGTTATGAATAAGTGGCTAAGTTTTACTTTTGCTCTCATTTTTGAGACATTGTCTTAACACATAGCCCACGTTGGCCTAGAACTCACAATCCTTCCTTTTGACTTCTACCCAGGTGCTAGAACTATACACATGTGCTAACATAGTAAATTTTATTTCTTTATTTTTTTATGTATTTGTTTATGATTGGGTTTTACTATGTAATACAGGCTGGCCTCACCAGTGCTGGGATTAAAGGTGTGGGCCACCACACAGTCTCAAAATTCACTTTTTTTTTTCTTTCGAGACAGGGTTTCTCTGTGGCTTTGGAGGCTGTCCTGGAACTAGCTCTAGGAGACCATGCTGGTCTCGAACTCACAGAGATCCGCCTGCCTCTGCCTCCAGAGTGCTGGGATTAAAGGCGTGCTCCACCAAAGCCCAGCCTAAAATTCACATTTTTAAAGAGATCAGACATGTGGTTATACATTGGCACTGATACACTGGTTAAAACATTTCTTTTTTACCCTGGTTAAAGCATTTCCTTTTCTCCTGTCATACTGCATTATAACCAAGAGTCATCAGAAATTTATTATTATTTTTTAAATGTTATGTGTATAAGTGTTTTACCTGCATGTATGTATGTGTAACACATGTGCCTTGTACTTATAGAGGCCAGAAGAGGGCACTGGACTCCCTGAAACTGGAGTTACAAATGGGTGAAAACTATCAAGTTGAACTGGAAACAAAACCCAGGTCTTTAAGAGCAGCCAGTGTTCTTAACCACTGAGCCATCTACAGCCCCCATCAAAAAACTTACATTGAGCTAAGGGCAGCTCAGCGGTAGAGCACTTGCCCAATGTGCAACGTTTAAACCAAGACTGCTCTACTCCCCTACTCTAGGGAGTATCAACTTGTGTAAAACTTGAAGCATATAGATTCAGAGTAAGCTGACCTACCAAGTGAGTGGAGAATGACTCAAAATTCACCGTGTCTAAGCATCTTACATAGAGTTCGAGCATACAGCACACGCCATCTTACCTGCGCTGCAGTTCCTCTTCTTCTTCAAAAACCCCAAAGGGCTTCAGAGTCTCGATGAGTTTCTGTGTGAGTAGGCAGTCAGTCTCCTTGGGGGCTGCTAAGCTGATAGGAGAGGTAATGCCATAGTGCCTCTGTGGCGGCTGCGCTTGTTGTGATCCCTGCGTTGTAACTGGACTAAAAATGGAATTGGATAAATTTTCTTTACTGCCAAAAAATCCTATGATTTGAAATTAATCAATATGACTGGAATAGGTACTTTTAATGTACTTCTAAACAGCTGATCCTTATCATGTTCCCCAAACTTGTACCTTTTTTTTTTCTTTCAAGCAAGGTTTCTCTGTGCAACAGTCCTAGCTGTCCTGGGAACTTACTTTGTAGACCAGGCTGGCCTGAAACTTAAGAGATCTGCCCTGCTTCTGCCTCCCAAGTGCTGGGATTAAAGGCCTGTCCCTCCCCCACCCCCCAAGCATGGCCTTGTACTTTCTTTTCAGATAGGAAATGCAATGCAATCCAGGCTGGCCATGAACTCAACCTAATTGCCTTAGCCCCAGAATGCTAGAACTACAGGCATGCATCACCTTGCTCAGCTCAAAATTTTTACTTTCAAACACATTTTGCTTCACAACAAAATATATTTGAAGTAATATATACCAATAAATTTTTTCTCTTCCCCCATCACCCAGCCTTCATGTTTCTTAATATCAGACACACAACATGCTTGGAATGCTCCTGTCAAGGTCACTTTACCAGTGTTCCAGGCTACAAGGTTCAGATTTCTAAATTCACACAAAACTTCAATTAAGAGTCAGGCACAGTGGTGCACACCTGTAATCTCAGGGTTGAGATAGAGGTAGACAGATTCAAAATTATTCCACCATTACATAGCAAGTTAAAGGCCAGCCCCGGCTACAAAAGACAGAATCTCAAAAAAAAACAAACAAACATCTTTCACAATGTGTGCTCTTATGCACTTCAAAAGGCAGAACTACTTTAGATAATGAGATCTTAAAAGAACAGAAGGGCAAAGAAAGTGATAAAATATTATAATTTCTGGTACTTAGGAGGCTGAGTCAGGAGACCCTGGAGGCTACAGAATGAGATACTATTTTAAAGCAAAACAAAAAAGGACTAAAGAGATATAGCTCAGAAGCTGAAGGCAACTTGCCTTCAAGCCTGACAACCTGAAGACCCTAAACCAACTCCCACAATCTCTGCGATCAACCCCCACAAGTTGTCCACAAAAGCTATGTATGGGCACACAAATAAATAAATAAATCTACATTTTAATTGGGGGACTAGTGAGATGGCTCAATAGTTAAGAGCCCTGCCCCTACTCTTCCAGGGGTCCCAGTTCAATTCCCAGCAACCACATGGTAGTTCTCAACCATCTATAATGGAACCTAATGCCCAGTCTTCTGGCATGTAAGTGTGCATGTATACATTCAGAGCACTCATACAAAAAATAAATAAATTTTAAAAGAAACTTTTTAATGGGGCTAAGACGGATCAGTGAATAAAGAAAAGCCCTTGTTTGCCAAACCTGACCACCTGAGTTTAGAACCCACATAGTGTGAGAGAAACAACTCCCACAAGTTGTCCTTGTACTCCCAACACACACACACACACACACACACACACACACACACACACACACACACACACAATGTAAAAATGTGAATTCCAGAATAGTCAGGGCTACATTGAGACCTGGTGGAGAACTGACCAGAGACAGATTATGAGATACAGAATGAGAGAATGGCCAGGCAGAAGGGAAAGGGGTGAGGGAGCCAGCGGATGACTAACACACAAAGGACATGTATGTCCCCAGTGCTGGCTTACCAAATAGTTACTATTTTAAGCACTTCACCACACAATTCATAAAGTTCAGACTCCTGATGAACCCTCACTCCTAATATTGGAAATCTGGAATAGGTTGTGGCCCCTCCTACCAATAGATCCACTCACTGTCATAGCAACTACCCAATCAAAAACATGCCATCATTTCTAAGTTAAAAATGAAGCTTAACTTGCTGGCTATTATTTACAAATAAACTACAGTAACTTATTTACTATAATAACTCCTATACATTTAAACATTGTTTAAGCAGTAAAAAGAAATCTGGGCAGAAAAGGAATAAAGAACCTCTCAAAGGTACTGCAATATCTATTTACTATTTAATATTAATTCTGGGGGCTGGAGAAATGGCTCAGCAGTTAGGAGCACTTGCTGCTTACAGAGGACCAACAGAGTTCAGTTCCCAGCAGTACCCTTACCAGATGGCTCACAGCCACCTTTAACTAGCTCAGGGTAATCTAATGTCCTCTTCTGGGCTCCATGTGTCACACTTATGTGCACATTCCCTCCCCACACAGAGACAGAATTAAAAATAATATTTCAAGCATTAATTCCCAACCAGGTGTAGTGGCTTATCCCTGTAATCTGAGCACTCACAGGGCTGAGGCAGAAAGATTTGTAAGAATTTAAGGCCAAAAAAAAGAGAGAATTTGAGGCCAACCAGACCACAACCTAGAGTTCCCATTTTCACAAGGAGTTTAGCATTAAACAATAACTTAGCAACAAGAAGCTAAGCTAGGATTCTCTAACGATGACTAATTAAGCAGCTACCACCTGTTCTATGGTAGCCACACTAAAGTTAATTAGCATGTAGCTACTTTTCCTTTTCACACTCATGCTGGCCAGAAATACTTGAGCCTCCTGACTCAGCTTACTGAATGCTGGGACTGCAAACATGGGACACCATGCCTGGATACAATATTAAATACTTATAAAGAGAGGGGGCCATCCGTCCAGTATTTAGTAAGGAGCAGCAGAGGCTCAAACAAATGATTTGGTTTTACCAGGACTGGAGAGATGGCTCAGAGTTTAAGAGAAATGGCTGCTCTTCCAAAGGTCCTGAGTTCAATCCCAGCTACCATATGTGTCTAACAACCATCCACAATGAGATCTGGTGCTCTCTTCTGGCTTGTAGATAGACATACAGGCAGAACACTGCATATATAATAAATAAAACTATCTAAAAAATAATAGATTTTACCCAAGGGGAATGAATAGAGTATGATGAAGCCCAGGCCAAACTGTCAATTCCAGGTCGATTGTACAGGAAAAGGGCATAGTCATTCAATCAAATGTTGGGTCACTTTACCTCCCTTCCTAAGGGTGTTGCTTGTTTTTTAATAAAAAATGTATAATTTGATTTTATGTGTTTTGCCTGTGTATATACGTGCACCAAGTGTGCGTTTAAGGAGTCTGAAGAATTTTGGAAACACCAGGGCTGGAGTTACAAATGGTTTTGAGCTGACTTGTGAGTGCTGGAAACCAAACCTGGATCCTCTTCAAGAGCTACATTGCTCTTAACTGCTGAGCCAATTCTCTAACCTATTGATGTTTCTAACTGTCCCTTTGCTACAGACTCAAAGGGGGAGGGGCACTCCTGCATCAACCTCCCCAGGACAACCTGAAAATGAATGGAATGTGGAGAAATGTAAAAGTGCATCACAACAGCCAAAGATGGTTCATACAGTACTGAATGTGAATTTCAAGCAGTACACTGTCAATGTTTCGTGTGGTGACTCATGCCTGTAATCCCAGCATTGGAAGGCTTAGGCAGAAGGATTGGAAGTTCAAGGCCAGCCTGGATTACATGAACACGATTGTCAAAAAACATAAATATTTCTTTCTTATAATCAAAATGACTAGAACCAGCAGGGCATGGTGGGGCACAACTTTAATACCAGGACTTGGGAGGCAGAGGCACTAGGAATGTTTTGAGTTGGAAGCCAGACTCATCTACAGAGTGAGTTCCAGGACAGCTAGGGCTACACAGAGAAACCCTGTCTGGAAGAAAAGGAAAAAAAGACTAGAACCCATTTCTTTTCAAACAGGGTTCTCTGTGAAACAGTCCTGGCTGTCCTGGAACTCACTCTGTAGACTAGGTTGTCCTTGAACACAGACAGACTGGCCTGTCTCTGCCTCCCAAATTCCAGGATTAAAGGTGAACCCGTTTCTTGACAGGCGGTGGTGGCTAAACATTTAATCCCAGTTCTCAGGAGGCAGAGGCAGAGGCAGGTGAATCTCTGTGAGTTCAGACCAGCCTGGTCTACAAGAGCTAGTTCCAGGACAGCCTCCCAAGCCACAGATAAAGAAACCCTGTCTTCACCACAAAAAATGTAAAAACTATCTTAAATATAAAATGGCTTACAGATATAATCTAGATAGAACGTAAATTTGAAAGACAACTCTGAAAAGGTATCTAACAAATTCTTTTCCCCAAATCTTTAGATTTCCACAAAAGAGGTCTATATGACAGTTGACTGTCAATTGAAATGGATTTAGAATCACCTCTGAAACACACTTCTGCATCAAGGAGGATGTTTCCAGCAAGGTTTACTGAGGGAAGACCAACCCTGAATATGGGTGGTACCATCACAAGGGCTGGAGTCCCAGACTTCATACAAAGAAAGGGAGCTAAAACACCAATACTCATCTCTGCTTGCTAACTGCCACACAATGTGGTCACATGCAATGCTGTCATAGCTTATGCCATTCTTGTGCCATGACTTCCCACCATGATGGACTCTATGCTCAAATGATGAACCAATATAAACCCTTCCTTAAGTTTTTTTAATCATAGCCTACAATCCAAAAGCTGTGCTTGCTTTTAAATGTCCAGTCACTAAAGTTTCCTACTTTTCTAAAACCTAGGTAATATATTATCTACAGCACAAGTGTGCACTCCCAGCTGCTCAGGAGAATCACTTGAAACAAAAAGTGGGCCAGCCTGGACAACAATAATATCTTTCTCACAGCCTTGAGTATGCATGATGACACATGCTCTTAATCCCAGCACTCTGGAAGCAAAGACAGGCAGACCTTTTAGAGTTCAAAGACAACCTGGCCTACACAGTGAATTGCAAGACAGCAGGGCTATAAGGTAAAACACTGACTCAAAACAACACCCCAAAAAAAAAAAAGAAAGAAATACAGTTAATAGTAGTTTTTTTATCAATTGAGAACTTCATATACCCAGACAACATACTTTGATCATATCCATCCACCACTGTTCTCCTTAATGCCTCTCAGATCTAGCAAGCCCTTTCTCAAAAACAAACAAAAATAACAGATTCTAGGTTCTACTGTATGTAATACATTTAATTGTATCCATTACAGTGAGTAATATAGCAAGTACATGTTCAACATACAGTAAATGTTCTACACACCAAACTTGAATTTTTTCCCATTGCAGAGCTGGAGGTACTCCTCCACTGAGCCACATCCCTAGCCCTTGAAAATCTTGTTTTAGCTGGGTGGTGGTCATGATGGTGGTATATGTCTTAAATCTAAAGCAGAGGCAGATAAATCTGAGTTCAAGGCCAGCCTGGTCTACAGAGTAGAGCAAGATCCAGTACAGCCAGGGCTACACAGAGAATTCTGTCTCAAAAAACTGGGAAGAAATAAAAAATTAAATATGCATTAAGCTTTTTCTTATTTATTCTCTTGGTTTGTTTGTTTTTGTTTTTAGAGACAGGGTTTGTGTAGCTTTGGAGTCTGTCTGTCCTGTTGTAAACCAGGGGGGCCTCTGCCTCCCAAATGCTGGGATTAAAGGCTTGAGCAGCCACCACCACCAGGCAATTTAACCAATTTTAAGAGGAACTGTTTCAGTTCATTTAAGTTTGTTTTAGCTGTTAGAAAACACCAAGATCAAAAGTAACTTAGAGGAAGAAAGGGTTTGTTTCTGCTTACAGTTTAAACTCCATCATGAAGAAGTCAGGGCAGGAACTCAGAGCAGGAGCCTCAAGTCAGGAACTGAAGCAGAGGCCATGCAGGAACACTGCTTACTGGTTTGCTCAGTCAGCTTTCTTATATACTTCAGGACCACCGGCAAAGATCCAGTGCCACCCATAGTGGGCTGGGCCCTCCCACTACAATCATTAACCAAGAAAATGCCCTACAGAGAGTTGCCTACAGGCAATCTGATCCATTTTCTCAATTGAGGTTGTTTTCCCTGATAACTTCAACTTGTGTCAAACAGAAAAAAAACCTAACCAGGGCAGAAACCAGTATTAGCTACTATGTCACTGCTTTGAACATTATGAGCTGGTATTATACAATAGTCTAAAAAGCTGTTGTGGACACTAAACATACAGAATTAAAGGCACAAAGAAATGAGAACTAGCCAGGCGTTGGTGGTGCATGCCTTTGATCCCAGCACTCCGGAGGCAGAGGCAAGTGGATCTCTGTGAGTTTGAGACCAGCCTGGTCTACAAGAGCTAGTTCCAGGATAGCCTCCAAAGTCACAGAGAAACCCTGTCTCAGAAAAAAAAAAAGAAAGAAATGAGAACTAGCTAAGCATCCTAATGGTCTTGTTTCATGGAAAGTACATTTTTAAATGAAGGCTAACTGCTAACATAAAGTTGACTTACCAAGTATATAAAAAGTATATACTTATACATAAGTATATGCTTATATATAAGTATATACCTTATATATACTTATATATTAAATATATAAAAAGTATAAAAATTTTAAGTTATGTTATCAAGCCAGAAACTATTTTTACCTCGAGTAGGTGTTCAGGAACTAGGAATCAAACATGCTCATAAACATGTTTAACAGAAAACAGCACTCCAAAAACCATAATCAGCATTTACCGAGCAAGCAGCAAACAATTCTCTCACAACATTAACCTCCAATCTTGAATTTGGGAAGATATCTCAGTCAAGTACCCCCCGTCCCGTCCTGTCCCCCACACACACACACCACACCACGGAGATCCGAGTTCAGATTCCTAGCTCCAAATGTCTGAACCCCAGCCCTTGAGGGGGAGGGAGAAGGCACAGATGGATCCCTGGAGCTCATTGTAGCTAATTCCATGAACTCCAGGTTCAGAGAGACCTGACCTGTCTCAAACAAGAAAATGGAAAGCAACAGAGGAAGACATCTGATCACAATCTCTGCCCTCCACAAGAATGTGCATAGAACACAGAAATGTGGTCTCCCATTTAGGAATTATTTTTCCAAAGATCACCTAAAAATACCTTTTCTTTAACAATCTGCTGCCTGCCCCACTCTTCTTCCATTAGTCTGCTTCTGTTGTTTAATACCGCCTTGCGTTTAAATTGTGTGCTCTGATACTGCAAACACAGTGCACTAAAAGTTACAGTCTCAAGGAAAATATAATCAGTGTACCAAAAAACTATTCTGTATTATGTCCATCCTGTTCAGACATGTCTTTAAAAAAAAAAAAAAAAAAAAAAAAAGATCATCAACAGCCTGGTCTATAGACCAAGTTCCAGAACAGCCAGAGCAACCCTGTCTTGAAAAACAAAAATACTCAACCCAAGTACCACCAATTCCAAGAAAACACTAGTTTTTAAGACAACTCAGGCAAAATGCTCCTCCTCAAAGTTACCACTCTCCATTGTATTGCCACATCATATTAAAAAGACAATCTCAAGGGTCAAGCTTTCATAAAATTGGCATTTTTCTTTGCAATACTGGGGATGAAACCCAGGACCTCATTCTTGTCAGGCAAGCTCTCCACTGAACTACATACCTCCCAGCTAAAGTTAGCATTAAGCTTCAAGAACTTTGGAACCCAGCTCTGAGAAGTTCCATAATCCGCCTTAAAAGGCTGAGACAAGAGGATCACAAGTTAGGGGCCAGCCTGGATGACAGCATGACCTGTCTTAAAACCCAAAAATCCTTATCAAGAAAGAAGCCTAGGTCTGGCCGTTGGTGGAGCACACCTTTAATCACAGCGCTCAGGAGGCAGAGGCAGGTGGATCTCTGGGAGTTCAAGGCCAACCTGGTCTACAGATCAGAGTGCCAAGACAGGCTCTCCAAAACAACACAAAGAAACCCTGTATCGAAAAACCAAAAAAGAAAAAAAAAAGAGGAGGCTGGGGGGCAAGTAGAGGAAAAAGGGGACAAGAGATGGTTAAGGGGTGAACATAACGAAAGTACATCATACACATGTGTGAAAACATCACAATGAATGAAGTCCATTCTGTATTTAAAAAAAAAAAAAACCTTCAATGTATGTATGCTAATAATAAACTGAGGTCTTTGAGATAGGGTCTTATGTAGCTTAAAGCTGGACTCAAACCTCTCTCCCCCACATTCAGTGCTGAGATTATAGGTATACATCACCCTGTACACTTCAACAAAGCCTGCACCATCTTAATGTTCAAGCAGCACTCCTCATAACTGCCTTGCACCATCAGGGCAAACACCAAGAACAAAACCTTTCAACCCTGTTAAAAGGTGACGGACCTTTAGCAGGATCTGGCTCTGCCTTTGACTCCAGGCAAGTCCTCCCATTCTATTCCTGGTAAAAGCACCCTTATATACTCAACAGAACTACTGTCTTCTCTAAGTCTCACTAAAACAGTTCTTCCAACAACTTCAACAATTTCCTCAGAGTGTGGCATGGATGCTAACACTGATAATGGTACAATGATTTGGCCATTAGCATAAGACAAGAGTCAAATAAAAATGTTCATAACACATACTTTTCATTAATGCAGCAGGTTTTTTGTTTATTTGGTTTTTCTAGACAGGGTTTCTCTGTGTAACTTTGGGGGCTGTCCTGGAACTAGTTCTTCTAGACCAGGCTGGTCTCGAACTCACAGAGATCCACCTGCCTCTGACTCCCCAGTGCTGGGATCAAAGGTGTGCACCACCACCACCCGGAGCAGCAGTTCTTTTATTTATTTTGATTTTTTTTTGTTTGTTTTTTTTTTGAGACAGTTTCTCTGTGTAGCTTTGGAGCCTGTCCTAGAACTCACTCTGTGGAACAGGCTGGCCTTGAACTCATGAGATTTGTCTGCGTCTACCTGGATTAAAGGTGTGTGTGCTAATGCAGTGGTTCTTGAACCAACAAACTATATACCTCAAAGTACATCTGGAAAAATCTGGAACCATCTGTGGTTGCCACTTCGAGGAAGTTACTGGGGTAAGGCTGCTAGCATCTACTAAGCAGAGGTCAGAGATACTATTAAATACCCTACAAGATACAGGGAGACCTCCATAAAAGGAATTATATGGCTCAGATATCAACAGTATTTAGGTGAGAAACTCTCATCATTGACTTCCTGTAACTTTCCAGTGGTTTTTAAAAGCTTCTGTTTTCTCCATAACTTTTCAAAGTTTTACCATTACAGCAAAACATATTAGCATTTTCCAAACTACATTTGTAATTATATTCAAAGTTTAGACAAAACACATCTATGAGCACAATGATTCTATCCCTTCCGACCATTCCAAGGTGTCTAGCTTCAATCCCAACTTACATGGCCAAATTTAACAGGCACACCAAAAACCACACTGGATGTCAATCAAACACAAACTATTTAGAAAATCAACAACTCAGCACATCAAAGGCACCAAATTAATGTCCAATGGCACCAGAACACAAGAAATATACAAGCCTTCAATGGAGAAGTGAGTTTAGCCCTCAGAAAGCAAATTAATGATGAGAAGGACTGTCCTTCTGAACTATGCTGTCTTTGGTTTCCCTGTAATGGTAAAAGAGTCCCAGTACTCTCGTGAAAATTGGCTGTAGAGTTCAGACCCCATGAAACAAACCATAAAGGGGCCATCTGCATGACAATTTGTCTTGGCTCCTTCATTTTATACACTTGAAGTAAATCGCAAAGATTGAAGCACTGAAAGTGTGTAACTGGAAGTTTCCATAACCTTGAAGTGCTTTCACAAGTGTGCAGATTTGGAAATGCATAGTTTCCTTCCCACCAGCACTCCCAGACCTAAGTCACTCAACATTACTTATAAGCATTACTTATAAGTCTTCCTTTAAGGTGTGCATCCATCTTTTTTCTTACTACGGATGTATCAGAAAAAGCAGTCGGCCTGGGCTAATACAAGGTTACCACGTGACAACACTCCCACCATTCACGTTCATATGAATTCCACTGAGAAACACCAAACTTTATAGCCTCATGCTTCTTTACCGTCGTTCCATGAAGACTGAGTCAAGGGGAACTTTGCGGATTTTACATCTGTATACTGTAGTTGGTGAACCCTAACAAATCTTATTTCAGAAATACATCTGGCGGGTCTCTCAACAAAACAAGACGGTTGAATGAGGCGAGGCAGGAGAACGTAGAGCCAGCCCATAAACCCCATCTTTAATTTAAGTACAACCCGAGAGATTTCATAGTGAGGCTGCGTCCACTACCAGGGAAGAAGAGTCGCACAACCTAAGCCTTTACACCAAGGTAAAGTAAGCAGAACACAAGCTCTGGTCTACTTGCGGATTCCAACAACAATGGGCTTGCTAACATCTTTCTTCAGAGAAAGGGAGGGAGGAAGAAAAAAGGATCGAGGTAAAGCAGACCTAAGGTGGGAACACAAGGCCGAGGTGGATTAGCTCAAAGCCTACACTCGGATCGGAATCACAGCATGAGTGTGAGTGACCCGAGG